AAAAGGAGGGCTGCATCTCAAACGGGTCAGCGTTTCGTGAGCCCTTGACGTGGAAGCTTCTCCAAATTCACATCCCCAGCTAAATTGGCCTGCTATTTCCAAGCAGACCTGTCCACACCTGAATCCCAGACTTGTTCAACAACTGCCTTTAAGGGAAGTGCCAGGTTTGAAGCTTCCAAAGACAGCACCTCTCCCATGGCAGGATTCAACCGTAGCCTTGTGAGAAACTGAGAAGTGCGGCGTTTTATTCGGGGCTCGCCCACTTGCCCGACCATCCGCGAAATTAACGAGAGAGAGAGAGAGAGCGAGAGACAGAAATAATCAAAGAAATAAAGAGAGAGAGAGAGAGAGAGAGGGAGAGAGAGAGATAGACTCATGTGCTATTTACCAACACCTGCGCATTTCAATTCATGCCAAGGATTTTATACCCCGGTATCGGCGATCAATACTAGATGAGAAGACACAAGGGCCTTATTGCAAGCATTTTGGGCCAAATGTTTTGAACATGGAGTTTGCTCCACGTCGCTGTTTTTCCTACGTTCCTTTGGAAGGGTGAAGGGTTGACTTCTGTTCTTTTTCGGCAACCGGGGCTAGTCATATGGTCCATGCCTTCAGCACTTCCAACAAGTCTTAGCTCTTCCAGGGGTTCCTAGCGGCTGGAATTCTAAGGCCTTGCCCTAGGCCTGCGCGCCAAGGCGGTCTAGAGGGTCAGAGGGTCGAGCAGGCTGAAGGGGTTGGGTGCAAAAGAGCCTGGCAGGTCAAGTGGCGGACATAGATGGTGTCAGACAGAAGAAGGATCCTTTGCCATGAAAAAGCACCCATGCAAGACAGCGCAAGAATGGGTCACCTCACTTGAGAGTGCGCAAGCAACAAACAAAAACTAGGCAGAGCCATTTGAGAGGGCCACCTTGTTCTCGTGTTTTTCCCTGCGTTGGGTTTCCCGTACTTCCGTCGCCTTTCGGGCCCAGTGTCCTGGCGGGGAAATGTCGCCCTTGGGCCTTGGCAGGACTCCCAGGCTTCGTCAGCCCCACCACGCCGGCAGGTGAAACCGGCGAAATGCTTAGCTTCCAGCAAAAAAACAAGCTTGTTTTCAACCGGAACTTTTGTCCAGTTGCTCAAGCTGCTCATGGGGAGTCGACTCGGAAAGCTGAGCAATTTGTGGCCTTTGTCAAGCTTGGGGCCCAGTAAACATGGAAGCAACCACCTGGCTGCACAACTGGGAAGGCTGTGATTTAAGTGGAAACCACCCTCAGCAATAGTGATCCTTTGGTTTCCCTTTGTCCCGTGCCAAGATCTTTGCATGTTAAGTATCTTCGGGCCATTTGAGGCGCCCGCAGCCCGGGGCCGCAGCCAATGACCAGCCGCCGTCGAGGTTTGCTCAGGCGCGGGAAGTTGAACTTGCGGGGAGTGACGAAATCCAGATTTTCCCAGGGAACTGGGCCCAAAACTTGTGGGGAACATGATTGTTTCCCAGCACGCTGGCAAGACGCGAGTCTCGTTTTGTTCCTGCGGGCAATGGTTGCTGCACGAATTGCATTTCACGCAACGACCGCCCCTTGCTTCTCGCCTCCCAACACCGCGCCCTGCCTACCCTCACACCTCCACCCACCATGTTGCGAGCAAGGCTCGATCTGCGATTTGCTTTTGAACTTCGGGAGGTGAACCGCCTGGGCTCAACAACTTCGGGAGGCTTTGCCCCAACTTCTCCTGAAGCCTAACAGCTGCTAGCCCCGAGGCTTCCGAAACCCAACGGACCTCTTAAAAGGCATGCGGCATCGCATGTCCAAGCGCTAGGTCGCTCTTTTGACCTAGTGGTCGTAACACCAATGGACCCATCTTATTCCAACTGAACCTCATCCACTATGAGCCCGGCTAGTGTACCGAAGAGAAAGCGGGGGTGCGAGAGAGAGGGAGAGAGAGAGAGAGAGAGAGAGAGGGAGAGGGGGAGGGAGAGGAAGAGGAAGAGGGAGAGGGAGAGAGGGAGAGGGAGACCCAGAGCGATGGAGAAAGGGAAGCAGAGAAGAAGGGAAGGGAAAGAGAAAAGAGAGATGGGGAGAAGGAGAGAGAGTGAGCGAGCCCCTTTTAAGGAAGGTCTTGAGAAGGAGCGTCAAGATTAAAAGCCGAAGCGTTGGCTTGACCCTCGTGAGGCGGCTAGTGAGGGCCAGAGACGTCCAGACTGCCGATGCCTCAGCATCCTTCAGCATGGGATCAGATGAGAGCTTGCGGCCCATTGGAATGTTTGCAACAAGCGGGTCCTTCACGGCCGAAAGCATCCCGCCTCAGCGGAACCTGGCGTGAGCGACCCCCTGCTTTTGCCACAAGCAATGTTGGTGTTTGAAGTCGCTGACCCGCGTCGAAGTTGTGTTTATGTCTACAGGGGTGCTAAAAGGAAGCCGATTTTTTCACACACGTTGCACACGGGTGCTCATCAAAAAACAAACACATCACAAGCCCAGTTTCCGAAGGGCAACTGTTTTGCCTTTGGGATCAAGCAACAAATATAGATAGTTTTTCCACGTAGGCGGCGAGTAAGAAACGTGTTGACAACGGCGCAACGGCCACCTCCCCCATTCTCCTTGTTCGATTTCGCACCATGGGCAAGCATTGAGTGCCAGATGTTTTGAGGATTGGAGCAAAGCTCCTGGTGCAATCTGTATTTCACTGAGAGTTTTTCGTGGAAAGGTGTATGTGCCGTATGTGTGTGTGTGTTTTGGCCTGGAGCCCTGGTCAAGAGAGTAGTTTAGGGCTTTTGCGCGAGAACGCGAGAGTCGTCCAAATCAATTAGCTACTACATGCCATTTGTTTCTCACGAATAGAAACGAATGGCATGTTGCGATGTAAGGATTGCCCCGAAGCAACATAAATTATATTCCATGTGTATGTGTAACATTGTAGGGAAGTTTGGATTGGCAGTTGAGGTCGTCAACACACAGGCAAGTTGCCCAAACATGTTCCTCGTCACACGACGGTGGCGCCTGAGGTTAGCCCACGCAGAAGCAGCTTGTCTCGGCCTCAGCTGCACCGCCCCTGTGCAGGCGCAATGTGCTTGTGAGAGCCAATGTGATGGGCTTTTATGGCGTCCACATTGCCATACGAGTGAAGTATTGTAAATGGCTACGGCACACGTAATTGTAAGGGGTAGAGACAGTATTGAAGAGGGGTAGGAAAAAAGACGAGGATCCGGGCACCTTTGCTCCGAGGCCTGCTGAGCTTGCATCTTCAGGCGCCAGCCAGTTGCGAAAGAAAAGGGGGGGCCTGGCGGTGCTCTGTGACTTGCAAACGCTTCGTCGTGTTTTAGTTGTATTTGTGTGTGTCTCATGTTGCATGCTGTTGTTGCGTTGTGTGTTGTAAGTCTTCTCATTGTTGTCGTTCCCCGAATTTGAGGATGATACGTGGCTCAACTGTGTGTTTCCCCTGGTTGCTTTCTTTTGGGAACCACCAGCATGTGATGCTTCCATATGCATCCGGCGTGCAAGGTTTTCATTTTTTATGTGCTTTGGCCTTAGTTGCCAGGTAGGAGACGTTAGCCATTGCTTTTCGAGCTTGAAATCGAACAATGAGCTGAAATCCTGGTCTCCACATTGAGCTTGGTGGTTGGCCGCCGTGTCTCGTGCCGTGGTTTAGTTCTTGTTGAAACATGTTGAAACACATTCAAGACGGCTGCCGGACACAGAAACAAATGCAAATGATATTCATCGCGTCATCCCCACATGAAAATCCATATCATACCCATCTATGTTCCGCGCGCCTTTCTCTCTTCCCCTTAGGCGCACGGGAGAGCGAGACGGAGGCACGCAGCAAGCCGCATGAGCCGCAACCCAATGAGAATTCGTGGGCTGGCTGCTGCCTATTTGCTGCCTCTTTTTGCATGTTTGCCCCTGTGCTTGAAGAACCATTTGACACCCACATGCTCACTGAATCCGGTGACAACTGGGCTTTGTTTGGTATGATTGACCCTGCTGTTTTTGGTTATCCATCATAGCCGGTTGTTCAGGAGTTTTAATCGCCCACCCGAAGGGAACAATCAACTGAGATCCCTTTGGATTTTGGCTGACTGGATCGATTTTGAGCCAGGATGAGGCAATGCCACGGGCAGAGGCACCGTCGAGGCTCGTGCCGCGCTGTCGGCTGCCAGGGCGAGTTGGTAAAGAAGGGACCCTGTTCATGAGGAACAGAACGGCGTGGATCAAGGATTAATGCTTTGGCACATGCCACTACAACTCAAAGCTGGAGTGAATAATTGCTCAAGCAGGATGCAGGTACCCGAGTCAATCCCTTCGTAGAGGTCTTTATTCGAGTACAAAAGCTCAAACATGCTCAAACACAACTTGAACAACCAACCCAAAGCGGCAAATTCTCGACACGGAGGGAAATCGGTCAGTGTGATGAAATCCTTCCCTCGCCCATGGCACAGGCCCTTCTGCCAAAGTTGCGAGGGCTCTGGCAGTGAGCGCGCGCCTCAGAAACTGCGATGCAGGTGAACGCGTGCAAGGCAGACTGGTTGGAAAATATATTTGTAGGGCGACTTTCGGTGATACCAAGAAAGTCCTCTCGAAAGTGATATCACAAGGGGTGATTTTCCATAACTATGATGGTTCCTTTTTGGTTGGACCTTTAAGGGCCGCCCAGAATCCCAGCCGCATCGCCAAGACGACCTGGGCCTGCCATATATGCCCTTTTTTTTGAGTAAGGCTAGGCTGAAATCAGCCGGGTTTTCCACCTCGAAGGAGAGCATCCCGTGGCAGGGCTAGGGCTGCTCATATTCAACTCGGGCCTGAGTGGCTTCATTGCTTGGCTTTGGGCCTTGGAGTGTGCATGTCAGCCTTGGCTCCTTACGACGTGCCAAAGGATTTCAGAGCGCGCAACCTCACAACAGCCACCGCTATGGTCTATGCTTGCGGTCTTTGCTTAGGCTTTCAAGGAAAGGAGGCACTATTTGCCGCCAATGTGGGGTGCGGGAAAGGTGGGCGTGACTCTTCAACGCCCGGGGGCCGCCCGCCATGTCGTTGAAGCTGACCCGGGGCGCTTGGGCATCCGCGCTGGCGTGTGTCAGCGAAGCTCCGGAGGTTCGCAGCCTCACACCAAGTGCAGATTTGTTAGCCGTGTAAAGCTCACCTGAGAAGCTGAGAAGGGATTTGATTTGCGGGATTCCTGTATGTCCCGTAACATGTGGCATGTTATGCTTGTGGTTGCCAATTTGCATTGTTTTATAATAGTGTTTTCTTTGGTAGATGGTAAGTAGGATCCGTTGCTGATCTTCAATCAGTGGTGGACGGTAACTTGGTCAGATACAATGATTCGATACGCTACTTGTCAAATGTTACACAGGCAATCATGGATTGCAGCGTGCCCGTTGTAAAGTTGGGGCTGTAGAGGGGAGCTTGTCAAGACGACGCTGCAAGGTTTATTGAGTCTAATCTTACTCCCCGCAAACGAACATGGAGCCCAAAACAAGTTCCAAAGGAGATCCTCTAAACATGATGCAGGGATCTGCAAATACGTAGTTACTTGCAGCCCTCGACGGGGCAGGCCTTGGAGGGCATCTTCTTTGGGCCGCTTGCAGAAAAATGGGATGGATCGGCGCCGCAAGTGACCTTTAACTTTTCAAGAGGGATGGTTCGTCCAAAAGCCGACAGTGTCCACTGCGTGACTGCTGGAAAGCGGTACCCTAAGTGAGGGATTGCCCATGCTGCGCTATCACAGAGAAGACTATTCTTCACAACCATGTCTCCCACTGTTGGAAACCAACGTGGGCCACTTCTGAAGGAAGCTGAACGGACTTGAGCAGCGCTCAACACCCCGATTGGCAATTGGTTGTAAGTTGTTTTACCTGTTGCCACGGGGGCTTTGTAAGACGAATTCAAGCTTCACAACTGTGCTGTTCGATATTCCTCCAGCATGGGTTTGCAAGGCAATAACCACCCTTCTAGTCTATATCTAAGTGTGTGAAAGCGTCGTACCTCCAAAACTCGGAAAAGCATTCCCTTGATTCGGGGCAACAGTGCAAAGACGTTCAGTGTGGCCCCAGGGATTGAGCTTAGCATCCACATGCTGGGAAGCTGCATGACTATGGTTCAAGGGAAATCCTGGGCCCCTTTCTCCGATGCCAACTTGAAGGGAATATCATCCTTAAAGAACGGTTTGAAAGGAATTATCATTACCAAGTTTCAGGGAACCGACTCTTTACAATTGACCAGGGGAACAACTCCAATGACTACCGCCATCTACCAATTTCAATCGACCACCTAGTCGCTGTCAGGTTCCCAGGTGGCCCCTGCATCAGCTTCCGCCTCTTGGGCTGTGCCGGCGCGGGTGTCGACGCAACCGAGACGCGCCTCTCCGCGGCGGCCAAGGCGCTTGTGGCAGAGAAGAAGGCGTTGGGCGAAAGGCGCGGCAATTGTTTTTTTGTTGGTCGTTTTGCTTTGAGACGTCTAGGTCATATGGGAGGGGCAACAGGGGAACTCAATGATTCCTTTCATGGGTGTGTTTGTTTGTTAATTGGCACATTCTGGTCAGTGTTAATTAATGGGAGGCCAAAAGGAAACCACTCATTTTGTGGGTACCAAAAGATCAAACACACCCAGATTGTACTACAAGGGCCTACATAGTTGGAATTGGACAGTGGGGCGCTATCTGACCACATTGCGTCTTAATCATAGGACAACGTGTGCAACTATTTAGCCATGAGTTGTGGCCTCAAACTGGAAACCCAGAAGAGAACCAAGCATTTTGGCCCGGTCCCACGCATTTTGGTGCAGTCCGAAGTGTCATACACATGTTCATGATGAAAGGAGGTTCGGCGGCGCAATTTTATGTTTTGCCGGCGCGGTTCCATGGAGACGGCCAGGTGCAGCCACAAATCTCGTTCAAAACGAGTCAAGCAGCAGGCCTTTAAGCACCAGTCCCCGGACAACCTGCCTGGGAGAATATTCAATCACAAAAACATGTTTGATTGGCCAGTGCTTCGCAAATCCCGTCAGCTCATAGGATCGTAATAGATTGGCTTGGCTTGTTCGGGTTGCCATGGATTTTAGAGGCATCATCGGCTTGGCATTGCCCCTTGTAAATTCATGGGTTGGACCCATCCTCAGCTTACTTTTTGTTTGAACCGCAGAGCGAGACCTTGCTGGTTGTTTTGGCACAGGAGCACGCATCCAGTTCGTGTATTCATGTGCCCCTGCGATGAATCAACTGAATCGGCAAAGGTCTCCATAGTTGTTTTGACCCCGGATGATGGACAGTTCCCGAAAGCATGGCGAAGGGTTCTTCCGCTGGGTTCACTTGAGTTGTTCTCATGAGAGTCATTACAAGGTGTCATTGCAAGGAATCAGCATCATGAAAGTCATTGCAAGGAGTCATTGCAAGGAGTCATTGCAAGGAATCATCATCATGAAAGTCATTGCAAGGAGTCATTGCAAGGAGTCATTGCAAGGAGTCATTGCAAGGAGTCATTGCAAGGAGTCATTGCAAGGAGTCATTGCAAGGAGTCATTGCAAGGAGTCATTGCAAGGAGTCATTGCAAGGAGTCATTGCAAGGAGTCATTGCAAGGAGTCATTGCAAGGAGTCATTGCAAGGAGTCATTGCAAGAGTCATTGCAAGGAGTCATTGCAAGGAGTCATTGCAAGGAGTCATTGCAAGGAGTCATTGCAAGGAGTTGCAAGGAGTCTGGCAAGGATTGCAACTTGCACTTGACTCCTTGCAATTGAAACTTGCACTTGACTCCATGCACTTGCAACTTGCACTTGACTCCATGCACTTGCAACTTGCACTTGACTCCATGCACTTGCTCCTTGCACTTGCTCCTTGCACTTGCAACTTGCCTTAACTCCGTGCACTTGCGACTTGCACTTCCATGCACTTGGCTCCTTGCAACTTGCAATGGCTCTCATGACTCCTTGCAATGACTCCTTGCAATGACTCCTTGAAACAAGCAAGGAGTCAAGTGCAAGTTGCAAGTGCAAGGAGTCAAGTGCAATTGACTTGCGAGGAGTTAAAATCTCTTCTTAGGGCGGCGGGGTAGTGCCGACGACACTACACGAAAATCGACCCTCTGCGGGGATCGGCGTGGTCGAGGTGCAAAAACCCATGGTTTTTTGCGATTTCTAATGCCCGCGCGACCCTCTGCGGGGATCGGCGTGGTCGAGGTGCAAAAACCCATGGTTTTTTGCGATTTCTGACATGCTCGCGCGACCCTCTGCGGGGATCGGCGTGGTGAGGTGCAAAAACCCATGGTTTTTTGCGATTTCTGCGGTGCTCGCGCGACCCTCTGCGGGGATCGGCGTAACCCATGGTTTTTTGCAATTTCTGCGGTGCCCGCGCAACCCTCTGCGGGGATCGGCGTGGTCGAGGTGCAAAAACTCGAGGTTTTTTGCGATTTTTGTTGTTCGAACTGGTCCTCGGGAGTTGTCTCGTGGTTCGCGCGCCTGCTCCCGGAACCGGCGGGTCGCGGGTTCGATTCCTCCCTGGTCCGCGGGCGGGCGTCGCAAGATGCAACTTGCATTTTAAAGCAACTTGCGCAGAGCAACTTGCGCAGAGCAAGTTGCTCAGAGCAACTTGCGCAGACCAACTTGCACCGACCAGTTTGCGCAGAGCGCCTTGCCTAGAGCAACTTGCGCAGAGCAACTTGCGCAGAGCAACTTACGCAGAGCAACTTGCACAGAGCAACTTGCACAGAGCACCTTGCCTGGTGCTGTCTCGCGCTTGCTTCACGAATGCTTCGCGTAGGGAAAAAGAACGCATCCTGCAGCGTTGGGCCGACCTCGCTTGCGATGTTCTGCTTTCGGGCCAACCGTGGTCTAGTTAGGTTTTATGTTGCAACCTCCTTCATTTAGGGCATTGTTTTTTAAGGATTGTTAGGATTCGTGGTTGCAAATAGACTCTAGGAGTCCATGGCACCTGCCTCGCCCCCCTCAGAGGCCCATGGCCTGGGCCTCGCTCCAGCGCTCCAAGCAGGCCAAGGAATCGGTGAGGCGCCTGCATGAGGCGCCCGGGAACTGAGCTACTGGGGGATATGGGTGCCGGTCACGTGGGCTGTCTTTGGCATGGGCCAGGAAAGTACGGTATACTCAAACATGGGGGAGTATCCCCCCCCGTTTCGGAGAGAGAAAAAAGCACGAAAGCTAAACACCCCCACACCAATTATGAAAGCCAAAGTGGGGTGGGCGAGGGGCCGTGGAAGAAAGCTGGCTTGGGTAGCGTTCAGGCTTTAAGCAGATTACCGGTGACGGACAGTGAAGAAAGCAAGGTGATATCAGATTCGAACTCCAATTCTGGAACAACGAACTGCCAGTCGATCAAATCTGGAACAACGAACTGCCAGTCGATCAAATGGAATTTGCGATCCATGAACTTGTGGGCAGATGTTGCCTCTCAGGCCTTCAGCAAAGAGCTGCAGGGTTCTGAGGAGGTCGCTGTAGGCAGGGCGCGCAATGGGGGTTCAGAGGTACCAACACTTCAGAGTTCAACACATGTGATCCCTTTCCTGCCTACAACAGGAAGTCGTCGCAGATTGATGCTTTTCAAGCGGCTCGGTCCGATCCGCTCTTGGTATTGAAGGGCAGCATCGCCTTTGCACCATTTGTCTAACTGTTTTTCTAGCCTTTGCTTGCTCTTTTGCCGAGGAAAGCAGCATGTTCGATGCACAACCTCACGTACAAGTCTTGTTACATGAAGTACTGTCAAAATTACTTCTGTTGAGTTTAGTATTCGGTGTTTCATTGATATTGTTAAATGTACAAAACCATTGCAAACGATAGGGGGCTCTCAAAAAACGATACCCCTGAAAAGGATGAACACGCTGGATAACGATAGGGGACTCTCAAACTAAGTAGCGAAACGGCGGTGAGTAATATTTCGACCGTGCCTCACATTGAACCTTGGACAGTCTTAGCTTATTATTCCCCAAAGGCACGCAACGGTGCCAACTGGTGTAGAGTGACTGCATGTGCTTTCTGTCACCATGGAGGGCTAAGCAAAGGAAGATGCACTTCTTCAGACCCCCAGTTGTCCCTTGGTCCGCAGCGAGGGCAACGTGTTTCTTTGTTTAAGATATTGATTTGAAACGGAGTCACGAACAAAAGCAGCGACATTATGCAGCGGCGTTGGTTGTCCGGTTGTTCCATGTTTGCTTGTTGCACGCGTGAATCATGGCATCCAGCTTAGCTTGATGTTCGAACGGAATCTTCTGGACCAGTCTTGTTTCCAAGGAAATGAACGACCTTTATGATGGACCGTTACCTTGTCGCTCCAGTGCAGAGGGGTTAAAATAAGCCATGCATGTGATGGGCCATTGCCTTGACGCCCCAGTTGGCGGAGGAGCCCAAATTAGCCATGCAGGTCGACATTTCCGACACGGACCCTTGGCCCCTTGACAACCAAGTGTTGAGGGGCTGTTTAGGGCTGCCTGGGAACCAGAAATTGTTGGTTCTGTGTGGGTTGGATCCAGCGAGTTCCAACCAACTCCGGAGGTTGCCTGATCATTTGCCCGCGTGGCCAGCAAGCCCAATTGGTGCAACATGCTGCCCCCTGGCCCGGACAAGTGGACAAGCGGACAAGTGGGGCTAGGGGTCGGGCGCCTGTGGCCCTGTGCCCGTGATCGATAGGCTCATATTGGCTCGCAAGATTGGCTTGTAAGTGAACTTGAGCATGCCTTGGGCATTGAGTGGCGCGATTCTTTCTCAAAGAAAGCGAACTTGTAACATAGACGTGTATTCCAGCACAGGGTTCCTGCCTTACCCACAAATAGATCAAGTAGGGTGCCTCCATTGTAACCATCACTTGTCCTAAGAGCTGAGGCATGTTGAAGCATTACAGATGGAACCTATCTTCGATAAACTTTACCCTCCTTGCGCCCAGTAGCATGAAATCTAACGTACGGTCAGAAGTGTTTTAGGTATCCAACTCTCGTAAGTTCTAAGCTGTGCCACTTGAGCTCACGCAAGGAATATTTTGTTTCCCCGAGTGGTATGTATTGAGGTGGTCGGCACTTTCTATGGTAGTTTGGAAGGCCTCGTTTTGCGGGGGGCGGGGGAAGTTCTAAGTGGATTCCGTCTTCATAGACATCCTCGCCTGCTCCGGGGCAGAGTGCCCTCACCCTCGTTCACCTTGTGTGAGGTTGCAGTGGCGGGCCCCGACCTGCAGCCCATCCAGCTCTTGCTTGCAGCTGATCCGCCAAAGCCAAAGCAGCAGGCTCCAGGCTTGCCCGCACCTCGTCCAATGGCTGAGCTATGCCCAGCTTCCAACTATGAAATTGGGGAAGGGTTGTGGACCATCCAAATCCACTAATTCATGGTTCCATACTCTGTGTGGGTGGATAACTGGACCTGGGACACCCTCCCCCCTCCCCTTCAGGATCCTGAAGGTATGGGCCATGCTCAGTTTCCAAAAGTGTGTTGTTTGTCAGCTATTGCCGGGAGGGTGGGGGCTGTTCGGATAGAGCATGAGTGATACTGGTGACAAAAAGTGAAACAAACACTAGCCGGTGGATCTCATATCAATGCCAAACTCCAATCGTGTCGCTTGTGTACTTATGGCTGTTGCATGTGCTCCATGTGTTTCATATTGACATGTTGGGAAGCAGCCTTACTTGCTGATCTAGGGGATTGGCTCCGTGGACCGCATGCTTCCTTTCAGGGCCTCTGAACTCAGGATGTCGGAATATGGGTTAAGTAGAAATGCATTTCACCATACTGGTTTCGGGGTATGCCAAAAGGCCCCAAGAATCTCTCCTACAATGCGAGACAGGGCCGCTACATGCCCCTACCCCCCAGAAAGGTTGTTAAAACTCAACTGCTTCGAACAGAACGGTGTTGAGAACCCCCTGAGCTGTGTGTGCTGAATTCCTAGGCCGGCGGAAAGCTGCAAGAGGCGCTGAAGAGGTGTGAGCCAGGCACGGCAGTTAGAGGCGCTCAGTTGGGGTGAACCTTGAACCTTTGACTTTTGTGGGACTGGGGATGTGTTCTCTCAGCATCCGGTCCACGGCGCGCGGACTGTTCTCCCAGTCATTCTACCGTCACATTGCAAGCGGGAAGCAACAGGTTGAACTTCTTGGCCAAGGGGCAATTGCCATCAAGTAACCAAAGGCTGGCTATTTGCCTTCTTTTCACAAGAGCCTAGTCTTGTTTGCCCAATTTGCAGGACCCCCGCTGGAGTGGCAGGGTCGGTCGAGTTGGTTTCCTAGTTGTCCTTCGGACATCGGAGGCGGAGGTGCGGAGGGATGCGATTTGTTACATTTTTTTGTGAATGCAATGTTGGTCCAATTCAGGGGGTGTGTTTTTCTGCAGGAAGTGGTGTCCCCTTTGAAACTGGACGCCTTCTGTTCATAAACCACGGCGTTATTGAAATTGTTGTGTTTGGGTTAAGAAAGTTCCATCGAGCCTTGTGTTGTCGGTGTCGTGATTTTCATCGAAGACATGCCGTGCGAGAAAGTTTCCCAAGTGGCATCAGTTGCGAACACAGTTGTGACGATCTCTTGTATTAAGAGAAAAACAAGCTCGAGCCGAGACATGATGCATTCTGCGCCAATCATAGCGAGCTTGCGTGGGAGTAAGAGCTTACCCATAATGCAGGTCTCTTACTTTGGGAGTAAGCTGGCTTGGTGAATCACATTGAATTAGTTGAGTTGTGCAAGGTTCTTCTTAGCTAATTGCTCCTCTAAGAAACCAAAAGGAGATGCCTCTAAGCAAGATGGTCTTTTTGTGGGGGTCTATGGCAATCAGCGGAGTAGCCGTACGGGGTCTCACCCAGGCCTGCGGAAGGCCGGGGATTTGCTGGAGCAAGCCGTCACAGACTCTCGGGAAGCAAGAGCCATTTGGGTATGTGTCAAAACGGGGGGGGGGCAAGGTGGAAAATCTGTGTATGTTAACATTTGGCTATTTGGAGAATTGTTTTATTTGACTGAATCTATGAACGTCCCCGTCCCGGAGCTGAAGGATACATTACGTACTACATCGCGAGGTTGCCCGTGTGACGCAGTGCGTTTTTTTTGCGGGAAGGCTGAAATCAGGGAAACGGGTTCAAGTTATGCCCAGGCGCTTGCCCATTTGGAGAACATCCATCGGTTTGGCTCAATGATGCAGGTAGGCCAGGGGTTCGTCCTATGAAAATAGAAACCATCAAAAGAAGCAAATCAGGAATGCTTCAATATAGCGATAGCAGTTGCTTCGTCTGGTTCTCGATTGGCTCTGCTGCTGAAAGGCTGCTGAACGCTTACATGTCATTTGCTCACCGCGGGAGTTGGGTGGGTAGCGTGTCTGCTGAGGAAATGTATGACAGAAACCATTTAAGCCTCAGAGTGCGGATGGCTATGAGGTTCGACATGGGCAAACTTGGGAACCACCCCCTTTGCCAGCTTGCTCTCCTCAGCCTTGCTCACATTTGAGCTGCATATAATTTCAAGCCAAGCCAACGAAGAGCCGAAGGGTGTGTTTGCCGACGGAAGTGAATCTCCCTGTGGGGAACGCTTCCTTTGGAAATTACACGGGGTGTCGGTTTGTATGCTGAAGGGAGTATCCAAACAGCTTGAGGTCGGGGTGACCCTACTTCCTGTGGCTTGCTGAGCCAGCAACATCCTGAATGTTTCCCTTGCGAAGGGGTAATCCGAACGAGGATTCTGGATTAGGATCGGCCAAAATAATCATTTCATCCAATATGACAATGCTTTGCGGGAAATTGCGGGATACTTCTTCGCGAATTATACTTCTTAGTCAGCCTGTGTGCCGCACAGTGGACCAAAACGGAAGGGCAGTTCAACGAGATGCTGTTTGAGAGCGTGCGAAACAGCCCAGGACGCCTTGGAGGAGCTCCAGGGCAGCCCACGGGGCGCCGCTCAGCTGTTGATAATCCTGGCTGGGATGTGGATCCCTCTCGGGATGATTTCCCCCGAACAGGTGCACATAGAAACCATGAAACATGTCATTCTAGCTTTGGGGGAAAAGCTTGCTTTATTTTGCCCTAGGTCGGTCAAGCCCTCGTGTTTGACTTCCGTTTTGCCGACTCAGAGCTCAGTGTCCTTTTCGGCTGCCGAAACCCAGACTCCAAGGTGAAGCGCTTCTTCCAGGAGCGCGCCGCTGCCGGCAAATTTGCCCGGACGAATGATGCTGAGAAAGCGCCAGGTGAAAAGCGGCCCGGGTGTTGGAGAGCCGCACCAAACATAGTAATGCCCCCATACCCGTGAGACGATGCTTGATGTCACAAGAGAAACAGAGAAGATGAAGAAAGTACTAAAGGAGAGGCGGGAAGGGATCAGCAGTGAGGACGTGCACATCTTGGGAGAGGCTGGTGAAGGACCACCTCAAGGCCGGGACCAAGGGATCATTGGGATGTTTTGCGTGGTGCGCGTGTCTTAAACTGCCTAGTGCGGACAGAACGCCATGGGCCATTTAGTTGGTCATGCTACTTCTCAATGAGCTCCTAAAAATCCAGACCGCTTGCGTGTCCATCTATCACAACCCAGATGAAAGTCAACTAGGCTTGCTCAAAGCAGGGCCCATTGCTTTACATGCATACAATTGAGCACCACAAGAAGACATCATCCAATTTCTGTTCCTCCGTCGCCCTGTGTTTAGTTCGTGTGAAGCGGTATTCACATTCTTGACCCAAATGTTGCCAAACACGATGAGGTAGTGTATTCCCTGAAGCTTCCCATCGCATCAGGCCCCTTATGCTATATTGTCCAGGTTGATATGCACTTTTGGCCTGGCATGGCAACAGGGAATTGGGCAGCATTTTCTATCAGGTCGTGCTTTGCACAAGCTCAGGTTGTGACACTGCTTTTCAATTGCGGGCACATGATTGAGCCTGTCACCTTACTTTGAGCGGAACCATATTTACGTATATCATATGCCCAAATTTGCAGGCCTTTCCAATGTGCATTATTGCTTTTGGGACAGAGGCTTTCCCCCCCAAGCGATGCTGCGCTCTCACTTTGACGCTGGCTTTGTCAGATGCCTGTCCCACTCAGGCGGAGGTGATTGACCTCGCACGCACAGCGTCCGGAACCCTATCTCGCCTGCCAAACCCGGCTGGATTGGTGCTGCTGTCAGGTCAGTTTGGTAGAAACTCGATGACACCGGTTTTAGTTTGGCTCTGCTCATTCACTGATCAGTGATCAAGGCAATCCTTTTGTCCGATCGTTTGCTTAAGACAAAACATCCTGCCGCGCGGTGGCAATCCCAAACGTTCTGTTTCAATGATGCCTTGCATCAGGATTCAAACGGCACAAGCAGAATGCTTTGCTTGCCCTGGGGAAGAGTCCAAGGCATTGAGGCCGTTGCCTAGTCAGGCACTACGAGCGCATGCTGGCGGAGCCGCCCACGCCATT